GTTAGCTGATCTGAGCCGCTATAGCGGCGCTATAGCGCGCTATTTAAATCCATGATTTTATTTTATATTTTTGGCATATTTTTATATATATATATATATATTTTTATTTTAGAATTTGACATAGTTATCATTGAAGTTGAGATAAGAGTAAAATGTGAACTGAAATTATAATATTTGCAGGGGCATTTCTGGAAATCAATACCTGGATTAAGAAAAAATACAGTTTCAAATTTTAATTATTATTTTTATTTTTATTTGCACGAGGTTGGATTTTATGGATGTGATAGTTTTCAAATATTTTAGAGGATTGACAGCTGCTATCTTTTTCACCAGGTCTATCTAGGGCTTCTTAAAAAATAAAAGGACTGCATAATAAATAAAATAAATAAAGTAGCAGAAAAATTGCAAATTGGTAGCTCAATTAATTTGCAATAACATAGGCCAAAGCAGAATTGAATGCAAGGACAAAAGGCTACATATATAAATGAATGAAAATTTTGGAAGATAATATATATGCAGTCTTCTGATCTCACTGACAACTACGTATCTCTGCCCGAGCCTCTACACACAGAGGTTGCGCTGTGAGAGCAGTCAAATCTTATTAAATCTGCATAAAACTTATTATTATTTGATGTGGTCGTCGGTAGTGATTTATGAGGGACCGGTCGTGATCTGCCGTCACAGTTGTATAGAGAAAACCAACTAACACTTCGGTACTTAGGTAGCTAGGTACCTCGGTCAGAGGGTGCCACCAAGGATATCATTAGAGGCACCACCAAGGGTACTGTCAAGAATACTACCAAGGATACCACCAAGGGTACCATCGAGGGGATCACCTTGGCATCGAGGTAGCCCGACCAGAGGGTTCCATCGAGGGAACTTGATAGTGGCCTTGAGATCAAGTTACGATGAGGTTGATAGCAATAAGGACTCTAGAGACAATAGAGATAAACATCAAAAAAACTTATTGTCTCGTGAGGACTCTCAAAAACTTCTCCTATAAGGAGCATGTTTATTCATTTTACACAACACACATACTTGTTGTCTCATTACTCTCCCGTTTTTCCTTGGATCACCACTGACTTGAGCGTCGGAGTGTTTGTTCCCGTGTATTCCTTGGTGTTCCTGCTAGTCGAATAGTTGTGACTCTGCATTTGTTTGCGCGCCGGGACCACCCCCAGCGTATTTTGGAGGTACCGACGATCAAGGAGATGTAACCCGGTTCGAGAGGAGCGGTCCAACGATTTAAGTATTGGTGGTATAACATTATTATTATTATTATTATTATTATTATTATTATTAATGCTATAAGCTTTCATGTG